TGTACTGGTCCTTGTGCTTCATCTGTGCCATCATATTTTTATGCATGCTAATGGCTTTTATGGATACAATAAGCATCTGCCACCTGTCATCTGTACAGATGGAATATAAACACTCCTGATCACAGATGATAATTTTACTTTCTCCAATTATTTCTTTCTGATTTCAGCTGTAATCTCCTGAAAGAGGCGCCCTTCTCCTCCTGTAACAGTGACATTGACCCAGTGCCCTACATAACCGCATGCACCGACACTTTGTGTAAATATCCTGCAGTGGACGGACTCAACTGTCAGTTCCTGAAGGCCTACGCCAGAGTCTGCAGACTACACAACCACACTCTCGATGGCTGGAAGTCAACGACTGGCTGCTGTAAGATATGAACAACTCTACAGTTCTTGTCCTGCAGCATTCACAAGCAGATTTTTTTTTTATCTCACATGTTTTCTGAATAACACATCAGTGTGTCCCTCTGTAGCCTCTGAGGCCTTCTGTCAGGACACGACCTGCAGCGATCACGAGTTTTGCGGTCAGAAGACGGTCGGTGGTGACACTCGTTGCTTCTGTCGAATCATTTTTGCCTCTAAATACAGATCAACCAACACTTTGGGTACGATACCTCTGACAAAAACATGTCAATAGGGCTGAATGATTGAGTAAAAAGTTTTTGATTATTTATTTTATCAATAATGTGATGTTCAGGTGATCAAACAGTCTGCAGCCAGAACTCTGCTTCGCTCTCTCTGGCCGGTTGTCTTTTGGAGGACAAAGGCATTGCATACTCTGACTTACACCTCAATGACCCGACCTGCAGGGGTCAGATGGATGAGCTTACCCACATGGTGACCTTCAGCTTCAACAGCAGCAACAGCTGTGGGATGGTGATCACAGTGGGTTTTCTCCTCCAACTCTTTAACTTCTACCACCAGCCAACCTCTTCCAGCACTCGGTTGAGCTTCTCCTGCTCTGCTCCAGCTTGGAATCTTTCTGTGGGTCCAAGTTTAGCTTTGAGTTCTGATTGGCTTCAAGTCTTGTTGGCCATCTATGATTCTTATTCTACCCAGTTAACTCCTAAAAGTTTCACATTAGTTATGTAAAAGACAAAACAATGCCTTTTTAGTTACATTACAAATTAATTCACTTCAGTTAAAGCTG